TTATTGTTATCATTATCTTGATTTCATTATTTTTATCATTATCATTGTTACTATCAATATTATTATTAGTATCATCATCATAATCATCATATCACTTTCATAATCATAATTATCATTGTTATTACATTCTATCACTATTAATATAATCACTATTGTTTTGCTGGCATGATTATCTTTATTATCATTGATACTACAATTGTTATTACTATTATTATCATTATTATCATTTTACTATCATCATTATTATTACCATTACTACAACTATTATTAGTGATGTTATATCATTACTATCATCACCATCATCATTATTATTATTACTATTATTATCATCATTACTGATATAATGATCATGATGATGATAATAATAATAATGATCATGATAATGATAATAATAATAATGATGATAATGTTGATAGTAATAAAAACAAAAATCATAATAATGATAATGATAATAACAACAATAGTGATAGTGTTAACAATAATGATGATGTTGATAATAAAGACAACAACAACAATAATAATAATATTATATAATATAATGATAATATAATATAATATGATAATGATAATGATATGATTATAATAATAATAATAATAATAAAGATGATGATAATGATAGCATTACTACTACTACTAAAAACAATTGACATCATTACCATGATTTTATTATTATTGCCAGTATCATCTTCGTTATCATTTCAATATCCTTAGGAAGATGATTTTCATTATAAAGGTATAAACTGAACATATACACCATAGTATGAAAGCTGAGTAGTGTTGTTATCAAGTTGATCCGAATTCCCTTTGATTCTAAACTGGCAAAGAGCTAAATGTTGAGAAAAATTTTGTCTACTTCTAAAACTCAATAGACAGTCAGTGTTGTTGAAAGGTTCACCGACCGTGTAGTAACAGCTTTCTAAGTATCTTGCATATGTAGACATAGTCTATGTTGCAAGTTGGGCAAAGATGAAATAACATAAGATAAATAAGAAAAAGTCAGTGTTCCACAACTGATAACAGATACTTCAACTGGTGGGAAAATGTGCGATTTTGATTAAAATCTTTCATATATGTCTGCATTTTAGAGATTACTTTGGGCGTGAGAGAGAGGTGTACAAGTGGGCAAGGTAAGAGTTGCATGATTTACCTTCAAAAACTGTGAATCATGCAGCTATCAACAGCTTTCATTTTTTTTTTCTTCTTCCCGGTCAAGCTCTGCGTCCCTCCACGACCCACTCACCCAGACTTCGTTCGTAAAGGAATAATTCCGAATCATATTTCTCAGCAAATGATTCTATTCACACTCAAAATAACATGAAATTGTTTAGATTAAAGCATTCTTCTTATCAACAAAAATGTCTGAATTCGCAAAATAACTGACGTTTCATATTGCGAGGCGTCGGCGACCCCAGGAGTGGGAGGCGCAGAGATACGCCTTTCTGCTCAGGGTCAGCAGAGAAGGCGCGGGTGCTCATCTATTCATACCTTTCAGTGGCAGGGCGCGAGCAAGCTGGGAGCCGTTAGGGTTGTATGCTGAACCCCGGCAGCAGCATATGGTGCGAAATTATTGAATGGATATAATCATATCACTCTATTATCATAATTTTTGTTGCCATTGATTACCTGCTGCCGATAACTGCACAGAGCGGAAATAATTGCCGGGGTTGGCTCACTCCGGCAGCCGATTGCAACGCCCGGGCACAGCTGTCCCGGGGCCGAATCCGCTGCATTCACTGCCGCGTTTCGTATCCGGACAAAGAAAGAGACTAAACCACGTAACGGCCGATAAAACGTTGCACTTTTCTTTTCGCGTGTCCTCGAATGACACAAAGTGACACAAAGGGGAATAAAGCCACATTTGAATTCTTTATATAAAGGTTGAAAAGGCATTCTATATAAAAATCTCCAGTGTTAAGAAGGGATGGAAAAAATGGAGGAGAAAAAGTAAAAGCCAAATAAATACAAAAATGGAAAGCGAAGAATGGAGAAACGGAGAAAAAAACAGAAATGAAAATGGGTGTTACATTTCAAAGAAGTTCGCGTACTGCGTGGCGGGCCCGTCCCTCACAAAGGACCGAATGATTTCCGAAAAGGAACTGCGGAAAAAAGGAAAGACAAAGAAGAAACGCCAAAAACAACACAAACTCAACAGCGACATAATCGTATCCCACAGAAGTGTAGAGAGAAGGAATGACAAGAATGAAACATCAGTGTTGCCGTCACGGTGTCCGTCTCGCCAGAGAGCCGTCGCCGGATTCATGTGTTATGTTAATCACGTTGCTGATTTATACTGGGCTCTTTATGCATAATAAGAATGGTGTCTTGGATACTTCCTTGTATGATACCACTTTGAGGATTAAAAAAGTCCTTTACTTAGCAGGAACAATCCTCATAGATCTCATGAAATCATGCTATTCTTTAAAGTTGTGAATTAAATACTTCTACATATTGTGAAATTAAAAGTAAATAGTGTTGGTTTATATGTACTTGCTGACATAGTCGTATTCTTCAACAAAGATTCAGACATGAATAAGTCAAAGAAAGACAAAACAGACTGAAATATCTTTAAAAAATGACATTCTGGCATTTCGGTCTCGAAAGCCCCAAAATACAGCTTCATGTTATACAGATAATGAAGCGTTTTGCTGCATTTAAGAACAGGTTAGTTTACCGTAGAAAATGGCACAACTTTGGAGCGAAATGACTCTGCTAAAACATTAGGCCTCGTTTAGACTCTAATAAGTATACAGCCACAGTAATAAGTGTCATAAAACGCTGCCCATTTGCAGTAACTGGCTGTTAAAGGGTGATCTGATATCGCGGGCGCTTACTTTATCGCTACATTTACAGCGAAGTATAATCATGCTGATATTACCCTCGCTCTTATTGCTATAAATTTCTGCTCCTACGGCAGCGCGACAGCACTTGGTGCCAAATACTAATCAGCCTCCGAAGCGATCAAACGGAGGCAGTTCAGGTCCGTAATTCAAAGAGGAAATGTCGCTGACCGAATCGTTCAACGAAGTTATTCAAATATTGCGAAAGACTTTAAACAGAAACCATCTGTCTATCATTTTCTTCTCTTTTGTTCTCTCTCTCTATTTCCTTCCCTCTTACCTTTCCTCGTTCCCTCGCCCTCTCTCTCTCATGATTTTCCACTGCTTCTTTAAATACTCGGCATTTTAGGGAAGAATGTTCTGAGCCTTTTCTTTCAGTGGTAGACTTCATTTTCATGTAGTCAAGCGTTGTTGCATATTCTATAAACATATTTCCCACGACAATAATATTTACCACTTCATTTCAGATACTAATTTTATGTTTTTTTTTTTTTCCAAAGCTACATAAAACATTTCTATACTACTTTATATTCATTATTCTTTTTACCTTTTGGTAAACGAAATACATATACTGAAACCGAAATTATAGATTATTCACAGAGCCGATGTTGATGAAATATGGCGCGTTTCCCCGTAGAGTTTTGAGTCGCGCTGCCGGATCCCATTCACTTCCCATTCGGCGTTATTGCGTTACTGCCTCTGCCTACAACTGCTACTGCATGTTTTATTGACTGTAGCCTCGATATTGTCAATAAAAGTAAGTTTATATTAGAAATTTAGAATTTCATATATACACGCAGAAACAGGAGTCATGTGTAGAATAGTTCTATATAAAAAAGTAAATAGTAATATATATATGTTTTCCGTGTCTCCATCTTTATCTAAAAGGCATAGGGTGATTGTATACATGTTTTATGGGAAGGGACCGGGCAGACGCACTCCCTTTTTATGCCTCCTATTGTTTAAAAGATGTATTTTCGAGTCTCGGGCTGACATACGATGTGTGTTCACCCTATTATAGGTAATGTACATGTGCTGTGTAATAACATTTGTCCATCCATCTACTGTCTGTCTGTCTGTCTATCTATCTTTCAATCAATCAGTCTATCCATGTTCACCGTTCCCAAAGTGCGTGTCTCCGCTCGCACTCCGGAAGAACATGTCTGCCGTGCCTCCCGCCGGCGCCCTGGCCTGGAGTGGCGGAGCAGGACAGCGAGATGGAAAGGCGCACTTGGGGCGCCGTCGGCAGGGCCACTCCCTCACCCCCGAGCCCAAGAGTTATCGCCTGGAGGTGAAAACCGCGCAAGCCTCGGCTGTCCATTCGAGGAGCGTCGGCGGAGGCAATGCGTGCTCGCCCTTCCCTCTCGCTCGCTCAGGGGAAACACCAGCAGTGAGGCTCCTTTGCCATTCTCTTTCTCGCGTTCGCCTTCGACAAGCTCCGAATCAATCATATGTGCGCCCGACGTGTTTCTGAAACACTACAGACCTTTTTAGGAGGATCCGGTATGCGAAGGATGCTTTAAAGGCTTCCGTCGGCGATAAAGGAACGGAAGGACTGCCTCTGCTCTCCTTTAGTCGCCCTCGCATTCTTCCCTTCGCTCCGTTCCCTCTCCTCTATTTTTCTGATTGGTTTCTCGGCCTCCACAGGCAGATCCATAAATCATTTACTTCTTCTCCCGTAATCGACGTAATCCATTGTGCGACCTGTTTATCATCGCCGCGCCATCCGTCTTCGTGGCTGATCATTGTGTCAGCCCCACCCCCCTCTCTCTCTCTCTCCTCGAGCCCGACTCCATATCTCAGGTGTCCCGCTGACAGGTGCGGCAGCCGAGCTAATACTGCGCCCTGTGTTATTGTCCGCTCCCAAAAAATCCGATATTTCTAGCCTGTTCCCGGCCGCGTCTCCTGCTGCCACGGACAACCTGACTCCCTGTTCATGTCTTTGTTTCGGGCGCCGCCTGCGAGTGGGCGCGAGAGGCTGCTGTCGCCTTCTCTTGACCACGCTATCCGCGGGGCTGGGCCATGCATCATCCATGCATGAATTCATGCAGTGAGAGCAAATACACACACACTAATGCACACCGCGCATGCAGAGTGTGCATGCCATGCATCAGAGCGCACACTATGCACACTGCGTAACTGCGGCCTTTCTTTTCTTTTCAG